TAGTGCATAGTGCATAGTGCATAGTGCATAGTGCATAAAAAACAACTAACGCGCCAACCAAAAAAACCTCCAATTACGACCATTGCAGTTATTCTCGCCCTACGTGCATAATCCAAAGGTTTGTCCAAGCGCCAGAACTGCTGAATTGACCGATAACACCCTGATTCTACATAACCATGGAAGTGGTTTGATGGGGAGCAGCGAACTATATGAAATGGCGCCAACAGGTGGCGCTGTTCGCGCTTCGCGCGTATATCTGCTGCGGAACGTCCAGGAAATAGAATTGAGAATTATTTACACAAGACCAGTGGTCTGTCAGATTTAAAAAAAACCAGCCCAGACAAACCATTAATTAGTGGAAAAAAAACGATGCAACTTTTGAGTCAAATGTATTTTAACAACCATGGTGGTTGGAAGGTCATTAATTTCATGCACTGAATGTTTCTACTGTGAATAGGGATGTGGGGTGGGGGGGGGGAAGAGAATACGTTGCAAAATAAAAACTCCAACAAAACTACCAACTCAAATTTACAAGTGGACCATTTTTGTACTACATTGACTTACTGGTGTTTGCAACTCACCCCACATTACCAGCTAAATGAGTGTCACTGAGCCAAGAAACACATTGCTACCAGTATCACGTGGCAGTAAGTTGCATGCAGCAAACATGATATAGAATAGAATATGAATAGAACTGAGCTATTCTGTTACATAACTGGTAACAGTAATGTTCCCACCGTCGCAACTTACCTCTAATGATATCTTGCCAAACCAAGCAAAGAAAGTGCTGTATCTCGTTCGCATGAATCCCGCAACATTGCGCAAAATAATGTAGGAGGTTATCTGTAAATACACGCAGTAACGCTGTAACAATTGCAATGCAATCGTAATTTACTTATATCAGGCTATCGAGTGGTAGAGTTAAGTATGTACACTGTACCTACACTCAGTACATCCTGATGAAATCCTGGATGAGATGGTGGAGAATGACATAGCACAAAAGAAAAAAAAAAACACGAGAAAAGGACCCCACTTTCGTGATGCTAGTAGCCGCCAAAAACAGCAGTAAAATTAGAAATGGCCATTGTTGACAAGGTGGTACGGTATTTCCAAAGTAGCACTGTTTCTATAGAGTATGAACAAGATTCTTACCGGTATAAAAGCTACATAGGGATGAACCTCGTTGCATTCAGGCTTCGTTTTGCAGAAAAAGGTAAATGTTGTATAGCTCTGAAAGTCACAGACACACACTCATACATAATTATATATATATACACACACACTCACGTTAAATTGACTACGTCACAAATTTTCTATGATAAAATTTGTTCAATTTTTGTTGCCATTTGTTTACATTAAAAGTAAGAACTAATGGGACTAAATGTATCGTCAAATTCTTACCTGATAAGATTGTTTCTCAACTAGTAATAAAAAATCCAAAAAACCTGGACGATTTGATATTATGTTCCTGACTTGTGATTAATTGCTTGCTATGGGCTATGTATGAGTCACGAGTGTATGTTCACATCGAACAATATAGTAAAATAGGAAGTATAATGCAGCAATTTAACCGTAAAAAGTGAACAGAATGACTTATATTTTGTGAAAAAGTGGAAATATTTTTATATTTTTTTATATTATTTACGGTGACGAAATCACTTTAAGTACATGCAATGCATATGGTCACATTGATACTCGAAGGCCGAATTACGGTGCGCTGCCTTTTCAAGTACAGTAGTTCAGTTCAGTTCAGAGTACAAAGAAATCATCATGACGCAAAACAGCGAGACGTCTGCTAACAAAAACAGCAGTCTCATGAACACTTACCATTATGCCTATTACCGACAACAAGCACACTATCCAACACACGCCTCGGGAGAACAAGCTCCCATTGCCTTTGTCATCTAGCAGCTCGAACCTTTTCAACAGGAAGTAGGCATAGCCAAATATCACGCCGAAGACTACGCTCTGGAAACAGAGAGAATTCGTGCAGTGCTGCTGAGTCTTTATTTGGCATGCAGATCATTCGCAGCAGTACAAGGATATCACGTTGAAATCTACCGCTCAGCTGCTGGGACCCGTGTTGTTGTTGTTGCTGCTTGGTGCTGGCGCGTGGTGTTCGCGATGGTGGTGGCGGCGGTGGTGGCGATGGTGGTGGCGGCGGTGGAGGTATGGGGGTAGGTGCTGTAGTGGTGAGGTGGCATGGTTTAGAACGCAGCAGCCATCGCAACAATGCTACAGTCTTGCAGCAACAAACTGTAGTTACATCTAAATGTAGTCATAGCCGTTTTAATTTGAACTATCCCCTTGAGCCGTTCAGTCCTCTATAATATGGCTCACATGGAAATCGCAATTCTCATCATAATTCAGAACAAAACGTTTGTATGTGAAAAGCATGAAATAAGTTTAGGATTATAATTAGGATAGTAAATATTTTGGGTTTTATCGATACCAATATTTGATGAAAAAACCTGTTAAAAATTTGGGATAACACATGTTATACTCCTTATATTGTAACGTATAATATATTCTCTCGAGAAATCCAATGCATGAATAAAAAATAGTGAACGTTTTCCTATACAATTTTTAAAATCGACATTTTGATTTTGAAAATGAAGTTTTCGTCTTTCACATGTACATACAATAGCTTTTACTCACTTAATTTGCAATGTAGAAATATGCTAAGATAAATTTTATGCTCTACACATACTGTAAACTACACATTTGGGCAAAACAGTCGTGCATGCTTGACATCCATGTGAAAATTTAAGTTATATGAAAAAAATTCCTTCCATGCTCAAACATTATGAATCTAGGTTGTTTCCTTCTTGTGATATCACGAACTGCAAATGCAACTGAAGTCTCTGCCTTTGCAGAGCCTCAATTCCATGATACTTCCATGATTACTTGATTTCTCTACATCTAACCGTTAAGGTGACACCAACAAATTACAGAACAGCAAGAACAGGTTACAGCAAGACATAAATAGAAACGCGTGGCAATCACTTAACAAATACCCCCCACCCCCACCCACCTACGCCCGAGACGACACATACAACACTCCACACGCAGACTTTGTAAAAGTCGAGGAACCCACGTTTCCTAGACTTTTACACACAAGAAAAGTACAGTGTGCATTAGGCACGGACATTTACACTATACTTAACCGTGATCATGTGGCTTAGCATCTGTTAAACATCTCAATTCCCTATCCTATGGTAAAATTATTCACTTTCTAAAACATCAGCTGCCATTGAAAAATATCTCATGGCTAACAACTGCTTGCATGACAAGGTTGGCATGGCACGACTTTAATATTCTGTGATATATATATATTCTGTGAACCCTCTCACCAGTGCAACGAAATTGTATCATTTTAGGTACAAATTATTAATATTAACCGAATTTTAAATATACAACTGGGTCTATGTATATAATACATTTTGTTAACAAGGAAAAAGCCAAATGACAGATTAGTTATATCTAGTTGCTAAATCCAAGTATTTACATACATATCTGTCAAGCTGCCAGCGAAACCACCACTCTTTCACAGAATCATCACTTGTCACAAATAGTGCCTTGAAAGGACGAGTGACAAAGATCTTTTCGAATAAAACCTGCGAAAAAGGACATTACATATATTTAGGCTACATATATTTCGCACCAATACAAAGCATGATGAGAGGGTAGTAAAATACTAGAAGGCATTTAGACGTAGCAGAAAAATCTACACCAACAGAGTCACCATTATTTACTTGGTGTATAGGTTGTGATTATACCATTGTACACCCGATTACTATATTTTTTGTGATTATATCTTTTAAACGAATTTGTGTTAAATTTATTGTTTGATTGATTGATGGATGGATTTATTGAGTCATTGGTCAACATTCATGCTGTTTCTGATATTAATTGAAGACTCACTGCTGAAGACCTGTTCATCCCAATGTGAGTGTAACCATTTTAAATTTACAAAATATAGAATTTATCATATGCATTGGCTCATAGGAATTAGTATTAAAACCTCTTGAGATATACGGGGAAAAACTCGTTCCACCACAGAGTCACCGCAGTAGACGTTAGATGAGCGCTGTCGCTCCGCGGCACTTGTTATTAAATGCAACATTTTATTTTCTGGAGTGTTTGTCTCTTTTGTAACTTGCCTCAAGCGCTTGTGGTGCATACTGTTGATAATATCTCTGATGAAAAATAGGTACCAATCAATCGGTAGGGCCTACTGCAATGTGAGACACTGGCCCTAAATAACAACCTCAGGAGTAACATAATTAACTGACTGTCAATTATGATATCTTGATATCTCCCGATGTCTTGAAAAATAATAACTTGCCACATCTATAACGACAATACTTAGGCATAATTGAAAGCTTGACAAAGCAATGTTTTCGAAACCCATGCACAAAATAAATTCTACGACGATAATGTGACTCCACTTCTTGTCTCTTCCGCCGATCTTCTCAAAATAATACATATAGCTGTGATATTTTAAAGTAATTACTACGAGAGTTTTCCAGGGGTTTCCCCACCGTTATTGCTTGAGTAACAATAAAATGTCTTAGAACCTTTGTATTCACCAAAACATGTAGGCCTACGATTGCAAGTCTGTTCTGTTGCCATCTCTCGGATTTTCTCGCGGTAGCGCGAGACATCAACCAGGGTGTAGTAATGCAAATACTCGCACCGCAGAAATCAGGTCAGAGTGTAAACAGAGAGGTTCATACTAGCGTAACAGGAGTGTAATACTAATGCTGCGTAAAGTCTGTTATTAGAGAAGCTTGTGGATTACCAGTCAGATAGTAATACGAGAATGACAATAACAGAAAAATGCTCTGAATTATTTACATAAAAAGTCAATAATATTTACCATAAAGAATTGCACGCTCTTTTGTTATAATTATATGCACTTGGTTTAAAGGCGCCATTTGTATTTTGGATTCTCCGGACACGATAATATCTGGAGTTGGTATGATGTGGTCAAATCAATTTTTCGATACTATAACTGCATAAAATCGTAGTGTGTATGCAATTATAGCATAGAAAAATGGATTTGACCACATCATACCAGCAATAAATGTTATCGTGTCCCGACTCACAAAATCACAAATGGCGTCTTCAAAACAAGTGCACATAATTAAAACAAAGGGGCATGCAATTCTGTGTGATAAATATTATTGACTTTTTATGTCAATAATTCAGAGCACTTTCTGTCATTGTGATTCCTGTGTTACTATCCGACTTGTAATCCACAAGCTTATATAATAACAGACTTTACGCGGCATTAGTACTGCACTCCTGTTACGCTAGTATTGAACCTCTGTGTTTACACTCTGACCCGATTTATGCGGTGCAACTGTATGCATTACTGCACCCTGATAGATGTCTCGCGGCTACCGTAAGAGAGTCCGAGAGATGGCAACGGTAAACAAACAAAAACGCAAAATTGTAATCGTGCATGTGTTGGTGAATACGAAGGTTCTAAGACATTTTATCGTTACCCTAGACAATTGCTGTTACTCAAGCAATAACGGTAGGTATCATGAAAGTGGGGAAAACACTGGAAAACTCTCCCAATAATTACTTTAAAGCTTGGATGTTTTCGCAGGCGAGCACGTGTCGGATATAGCACAGCAGATCATGTCGGTCACAGGCACTTAGAGCGTTTCAATAAAATATAATGCTAAATAAATACGAAATCTATTTACTACCAAAGTATTAATGTTTCTATATTCTCTTTCACCTATTATTGCCGACAATTTCCTGTAAATACCGTCCAAATGCTCATCTGCAACAAACGCTGGCTGCCGCTGCACACTGACACATAAATATATAGCAGGTAGGAAAGCATGCTGCCAAAATTCACTCGACGCTCGCTTGATTTCATACGAATACAACACAAATATTCAACCATTCTACTCCATCTTTGTTTCTATTTGAAGAACAGTGTTCACTTGTTATAAAAACATACTGTCTGTGTTCGTAATCGAGCTGTGTCACGCGAAATCACACAAAGCCTGACAAAATTCTCGCGTTCGCTCCCGTTGCGCAGTTTATGTAAATGGCTGGCGGAATCAGGAAACACCCACCGGCACTCTTCGTGACCTCATTTTTGCGCCGCAACGCTGCAACATTTTTGCAACGCTCCACTGGCAGCTTTGACGAGGCTCGTACGGGAGTTGGAAAGCAGCGTGGTAGTTTCCCAAAATGCAGTACGCCGCCTATAGCCCTGTACTTGCAGCCATTTACATAAACTGCTCAACGGGAGCGAACGCGAGAATTTCGTCAGGCTTTGTGTGATTTCGCGTGACACAGCTCAGTTACGAACACAGACAGTATGTTTTTATAACAAGTGAACACTGTTCTTCAAATAGAAACAAAGATGGAGTAGAATGGTTGAATATTTGTGTTGTATTCAGATGAAATCAAGCGAGCGTCGAGCGAATTTTGGCAGCATCCTTTCCTACCTGCTATATATTTATGTGTCAGTGTGCAGCGGCAGCCAGCGTTTGTTGCAGATGAGCATTTGGATGGCATTTACAGGAAATTGTCAGCAATAATAGGTGAAAGAGAGTATAGAAACATTAAGACTTTGGTAGTAAATAGATTTCGTATTTATTTAGCATTATATTTTATTGAAAGGCTCCAAGTGCCTGTGATGCTGGTACGTGACTAATTCCACAAAGAGTGCTGCGGGTGATATCCAAGATGAAAATGGATTACCTCGGACAGGAATAATATTGTGATGATAGCAATCAGGAATACTATCTTCAGAACCATGTAAAGATAATGCCATGGGCTCCCTGCAATGAAAGTACACATATAAGCAACATACGAACCAAAACCACAGCACAGATTTTGGCTCGCCTTCACAGGGGGCCTATACTGAGCTGTTTATTTGACATTTAACCATAACCTGGAGAAATATTTTCAGCCTGCAAGCCTCCAAAATATATACTGTAATGTAAGTACAATATTGTATAATTATTGCCTGATTATGAGGGAAACAGAAGCTTGCGGGCTACAAAAATAAATGTTGCTCGAAAGTTGAAGTTAACGTTGATTTTGGGGGTCCAAAAAAATCTGTGTTGCCCAACCAACCACCCAAATACACATTAATTGTTTTGTTATACATCAAATCAGGAATAAATAATACTAAGGCTCCAGACAATCATGTAGGGGAGCCTTGGCTCGACCAAGCTGCGAGACTAACGTAAATACATGGCTCACGACGTATGACCGTATAAACTGTGTACGAATGCCAGAATTTCAGCAGTTACGCTGCAGAATATCAACAAATAATTCGTTATAAACTGAAGACGTTTGCACAGTGTGCTAGCACTTCTGATAACAGTGAATAGCTGATGCCTACGCAAGGTGATCTATGCACCAATGATAAATCTAGGCTCAGGTTTCGTTAACCGGGCCCGTAATCAATATAGTCTGAACCAGTGAAATAGGCAGGTGGGTAACAGTGTTTTACTACTTATACTTCTAAAAACAGGAACCAGCGTGCAATATAATCGACAAATCGACAAACCTTCGCAAATCCACGACTGAAGATAATACCAGGTATGCATAATACCAGGTATGCAGTATCAGTACATATTACACAATTAGTACATACACCAGCACATTAAACAACGCTATCTCAACTAATAAAACAATTAGGCGCAGAAATCATACCGAACCCCAACACGCCCACGCGGGGTGCTGTACGAACACTGTCCGTAAAACCAGCAATGTGGTGAGGTGATGCTGTAACATGCTTTCACGACCCAACCACCTACAGGTATAGATATGCCTGACGACTCGCGGCTGTCATTCTACAGCTAACGACACGTGCCTATATATATCTCATCATCTGACGACCCACGCGTACACGCTGTACGGTGCTACACGCTCTCCACCCTTCAACCCGACTATGCGTGAAGTAAGGAGGAGCCTCACAGCCGTACGTGACTGCTCACACGGCTCATCGTGTGAAACATGGAGCTATTACCTGACAGCGAAAAAGATCGACCTTATGACCAGGTAAAAGGAAAACGGACATCAAACAGCATCGCACACCTATTGCGTGTCATCGCACTCCTGACATGTGCACGCGAGCCAGGGTGCAGGGTTGGAAAATGGACGGTTGCCGACTTATTCTTATTCACATCAGTTATTTCAATCCTATTTGACTTGCTCTCTCTAAATGTTAAAATAAAATCCTTGAGTTCACCAATGTGTCTTTTGCTCTTTGTTGTATTGCTGATTGGTGGTTAAAAGCTGACAGCACGTAACCGTAGACTAGAATGTACACGCAGCATAATAGGGTTTTATACCGCGCTTCCTCCTAAGTTGCTGATGTAAGACAGATGATTTAGTAGCTTGCTAAAAAAACACTTTTCAAAATGCACTGAGCAGATATAAAAGTAGGCACATTTTTGGTTTAGTCTTTTCAAATCGTGTTCGTAATGGGAACAATTCACTAATCACTAATATCTCGTGAGAGCGATTTCAGGACTGCCAGGTAAACGGTAAAGGTAAAGGTAAACGGCAACAGCAAGCGGTTGAATGAATTTGAATGTATGTGCTACCTTTAAGTTTAAGTTAGTTGATTAGTTATATATTTTTATTATATTGTTTTTTTTGCATTAAGCACCTTAAAATAATGTTTAATATTTATATACACTATACTTGAAATTTGTTTGGTTTCCATTTGTACGTAACATTTAATCCTTTTTTGCTGTGTTCGGGTGTATGGGAAACATGTTCTTTAATATTGTGCCTTTGACTTTCATCACTAGTTTAATCTGCAAAATAAGCACACATGCAACTGTTATTATTAGTTTTGTACCTCAGATTCGGGACACCCTCATTTTGCTGCAGACTCCCTGTTTTTGAGAGCAGGAAGTGCTTTTGACTTCCTTGATCAAAAGTTGATTTCTACCATTGTAACACGACTGTAGCGTCTTCATTAGGGGCGGGAAGAATCATCAATAGATATTAATGTATCGTGAAACAAACCTTGATGATACATATATATCGATACTCTACATAATAAAATCCAAATCATTTGAGACAAGTCACAGCTCAATAGAAGTTGTTTACTAAGCGCTCGACGATACTGAATGGTAAGTATTCACATGATTGGTAATGTCCAGGTTGACTGTATAACTTGCTAGGTAGTTTACCTCGAAAGTACCACGACATATCGCATCGTGAAAGGTGTATCGTTATGTGAATCGTATCGTGAGCTACTCATATCGTCCCACCACTAATCTTCACTGAGATTGGGCTTCATTTATGATTTATACCCGTTTTTACTTCCTAATAGTTATTTAGAAATTTATTAGTTAATTGATTAATTTCAACGGCATTTTTGTTTACACAGTTGGCATCATTGTTGGTGCTGCTAATCACAATAGAGATTCAGTTGGGCTATGACTACAATGTCTCTTTCAATTTAATATAATCAGAGAAAAGTTTGAAGTATTAAAAAATAAGAGGACATATACACAGCACAAAAGTATCCATATCACATTATATTGAAACACTGTAGCAAATTATCTAAACAAAAGAACGTATTTTTATGTGCCTATTAATAGCAAGAAAATGCAAGTATGGATGACTCACCATCTGCAGATGTCGCACTAACTTGAGGCAGCATGCACATTGTGCAGTAGATGACTAGAAACCAGAAAGTGACGAGCGGCACAAAGTAGTAAAACTGATATGGCCGGTTCATTACGAAGCACAGCATGATCACTAACATGTTTAGCCGAAAAACCATCTGCAAGTAAAAAAAACAAATTAATTTAATTTAATTTATTTTAACAAAAATTTATTCTAATAAGATTTAGAAGTGATAAGTTTATAACGCGGTTGACATTTCTGTTCAGTTCTTAGGATGTTCTTTCATTTAAGTCTGAGCTACAATGTGACACATGCCGACACGCGCACGCACGCATACGTGCACATATGCAAATTCACAGCTGCACAGACATACTATCACACAAATGTCCATACCCAAATATCTGTTGTACTAAACAACAGGCTATCTACGTCAGTAAATTTATCCACAGGGTAGGGCTAGAATAATATCCACTTACATACAATACAAAAAAACAAAACGTCCGGTTCAAGCTCCAATACCGACTGCACATTGATGTGTTATATGCAGAATACAACTGTTCGGCAAATCACATGCTATGCAAACATCATTTGGAAATAATTCCTTGTCAAAGAGTATTGTTTCAACTTTCAGTATTTTTACTATCAGAACTAGGAAGGTAGTTAACTGTTTATAGGTGAATGTGAGTCAAAGGACATAAACCACTGTCAATTCTGTTGAACTGAAATGTAGGCGAATCCTGCCCCAGACTGCAGGAAATAAAGTCAAAATAATGATGATCAATACGTTTCTTGGAAATAATATAACTCCAATACCATTGTGATTACTGGGATGCCATTTCACATGCATCACAACCCCAATAAGCCACCATACCAAGAAAAACTAAAAGGAAATTTGATGTACAACCAACAGCAGCCCTTCACACTTTATATGCAGAGTGTCATGTATATTATAGTTGTGGGGTGGGTGTAGAAATAGGCGAGGAATAGGAGAGGACGAGATGAATAACTATAAGATCTTTGCAACAAGTGCCGCGGAGCGACAGCGCTCATCTAACGTCTACTGCGATGACTCTGTGGTGGAGTGGTGGGATTCTAGTAAACCCTGTTAGTCCCAAATGTGTTCACATACACGCCGAATAGATTTGTGCCCAACTGTTGAAGGACGCACGGACGCACGGACGGACGGACGCACGGACGATCATGCGATTCTACAAGCTGCATCTGACTATGTCAGATGAGCTAAAAACGTAATAAACAGTAAATAACTCACTACACTTTAACTGAACGTTAGCTTTGAAAATAAAACTGTAAAAATATGTATTAAGCCTATATTCCCTCAACGAAAAAACAACTCAAAAAACGCATTTCACCGCGGTTCTGTATCATGGCGGCAAGAGTCGACGCAGGTCACGTACCAGCACAGCTATAGATATCATATAACACGTGTTGTATGATATCTATAAGCATATGCAGGCTGCAGCCTTCATGACCTTCAGTGCTTGGTATCACTGCATGGCAACAAGAGACGCGTCACAACATTGCCGCAGTGTAGACCCGAAACTTTGTAGTCTAAAAGCTTTGAATGAACGTATTCCTGAGCTTTTTTTTTACCTATCACACATATATAGGCAAGTACAAACGTTCAATGTTAAAATAATTCATGTTTGCCTGATTTTATGTTTTCCGCTTGAAACTTCGAGGCAGGGCACCTTTAATCTCAAGGTGCGAAATTAACGCAAGTCCGGAGTCAAATACTCCCTGATTTACTGTCGGACTCACTGATTTGACATACGCAGGAGTCCGTGTGACTCCCTGAAAATTCTGCCATACTAACTAGTTCGTTCTGAACAGAGCACGGCCTCGCCGAATTACCGTATTTTTCAGCTGTCTAAAGATGAGTGTCAATGACACTGTAGCTCACCACAAAAAATGACACAAATGAGTGAGTGAGAAGAAGTCAGTTTTAATTGAGCAACCATCGACATACATTATGGAAACGAAGAGTATATATGGGAGAACTCCCACTATATATTCTTGATAATTATATGTGTAATTTTTTATGTGAAAATAAATGTTTGAGATGTGAAAGTCTGAGATGAGGGCGAGTGATGGCGTTACACCTAAATGATCGCCATTTAACGTTTTTATAATATTCAGATTTAGGCACTGCCTAAAAGCGGAGCTCCCGATGTGTAACATGTAAGATTGAGAGGATACGCTTATTCGACGTAGCTGCTATGTACCACGTGACAATGGTGTTTCCCTGCCCATAACACAACTTTTGTCAAAGGTTAATTGGTTGCATGGAAGTGTTTACTTCGTATGAGTTTTTCTAGGCGGTAGCACACGGTTGCCATCTGTTTATCGCAATAATAATTTATAAACCAAAATGAATCACAATTTGTGACGGTAGATGGTGCTATACCCGCTTTGTAGCGATGGCGTTCTAAATAAATAGGTTATGCTGCGTTCTGACATGTTTTGTAAAACTTTACGCTAATATAGACGTTTTATGGGCAGGGTGGAGAGGAAATACCAATTTTGCATTAAAGATATTGTCAATGAAATCTTGTAAAACGAACCAGACGAGTGACACCACAGACTGTTTGTTATCTGCGTTTTTTTGCATAAATTGCATAAACCTACCTAATTTGCATTTTTTTTTTTTATATCAAAACCCCTAGCCCTTATTCATTCACATACCAAAAATGAGCAAAATCCGTTGAACCTGAACTGACTAATGGCAATTCCCATTTTTGCCAAAAAATTGCTGTGGCTCGAAAGTACGTCGACTGGCGTGCTCCAAAATAGGACGTTTAATATGGGAGCATAGCAGTAACAACTATACCCAATTTCAAACATGTGGGTCAAACGGTTCCTGAGTTATCGTTGACCGTAGCTAAATGTTGACGGACGGACGTACGACGGACGACAACCCATGGCAATAGCTCAGCTTGACGACGTCAAGGTGAGCTAACAATTGGGCAGACATGCCACCGCATGAATCTTCAAAATAAGCACATGCATTATTGTTAATATCTTTAATTTTGAACTTCAGACTGCGGACTCATTTTGCTGCGGACTCCCTCTTTTTGAGGGTTGGGAGTCCGCTCGACCCCCGAGTTAAATTTTGCAGGTGGAGGGGGCTCTAATAGCAAAAGCAGTTCAGTTCTTTGTTAACAGTCAACAAATCCATGTTTAACCCTCCTCTTGAGAGTCAAAAGGTTATCAGACACTTACTCTTCGCACGTCAGCGGAAAGTAGATTTCATGGTCCTTTCAATAATGTGATAAAAACGGTAGGTCAGCGCTGAAACAAAAAAGTTTTGCACTCGGTCCATTAGACCATGTCTTCAGAAAATGTCGGATATCTGACCTTTCCCCCACTGCCCTTTGACCTGTGAGCCCAAATTTCGCGCTGTTGATGGGTTTCCTCCCCATCACACTATACATCGAATATTAAGAGCGTAGGTCGAGCCGTTGAGATTTGTGCCGCAATTCCGTATTTCCTCCTATACCTTAAGTTAAGGGGGAAATATTCCCCCTCCATTGACACATCTTGACCTTTGACCCTTGACCCCCAAATTCGACATTCCGAGTCCTTTTCACGATCCCCCCCCCCTCCCCGACGTCCCGAATATCAAGACCGTACGTCGAGCAGTTAATGCTAGCCGCACACTATACGATTTTGCACTGTGCACAGCACTAAGCCCCCGCACACTATACGACCCGCTCCCGATCGATCGGGAGGCCACCGCACACTGTCCGACTCAAAGTTGACGCATCGAGAGTGAAGACATCAGGGTTTCGCGTGAGGGTCACCAATGTGTCGGTTAACTCTGGTAAGCTGGCCCATGCTGCCCAGGCAGTCTTCTTTCCACAACCAAAAAACTGTGATGTTGTATCGCACCCGGTTAGGCTGTGGAAGAGGTGTAGTGCGAAGGATTTTGAAGGACCAAGCTTGGTGAAGATGGATACAAAACAGCCTATATCCGAACCGTGGATAGCGATGTTGTTGTTTTGGCAGTCCGATTTTTTGAGAATCTCGGCCTATCGGAGCTCTGGGTAGGCCTCAGTAGCGGCAAACATTACCGTGACATTCCCGTCCATGTCATCTTCACCAAGCTTGGTTCTTTAAAATCCTTTGCACTACCCTTCTTCCACAGCCTAACCGGGTGTGATACAACATCACAGTTTTTTGGTTTTGGAAAGAAGACTGCCTGGGCAGCATGGGCCAGCTTACCAGAGTTAACCGACACATTGGTGACCCTCACGCGAAACCCTGATGTCTTCACTCTCGAGTCGATACATATGCAGCGGATCGAATGCCTAGTTGTTCTCATGTACAGCAAAGGATGTGGTGCAGATGGTGTCAACGAGGCCCGGCATCGCCTATTCACCACTGAAAGCAGAATGTTGGAGAACCTCCCACCTACACAAGCAGCACTGTTCCAGCATGTCAAACGAGCGCTACTTCAGGCCAGCTTCTACTGGAATCAGTCTACCACAGTGCAGCAACGAATTCCCGACTTCAGTGAGTGGGGCTGGCGAAAAGATGGTACGGGTGCCTGGCAGCCGCTATGAACTACACTCCGTGACGCTTCAGAAGCATGCACCCTTCTGGTGCACTGCAGCTGCCTCAAGTCATGCACAGGAAGGTGCAAGTGTAATCGCGCCGGTGTCAGGTGCACGATGCTCTGCAAATGCGAGAGCGGATGTAGCAACAACGTTGACAGCAACGACTAGTGGGACTTAATGCTAAAATGTATGGGCACAGGCCATACATATATCGAGAGCACTGTTGTGCCCAGTTGAACTTACTGATTATATAACTGGACACAAACCATGACAGTAATCACTTCTAACCAAAGATTCCATATCGGAAAGCCTACCTTGTCTGTTGTATTTGTCTCTTTATACACAACTGTGTAACTGTAACTATGTTAACCTAACATACATGTAGGAATAGATGACCAATATGGAATAGACAAATCAAGCAAATTATAATTCTTGTTGAAGCCATGTCCACCATTGTCCACCATGTTTGAGCTTCGTAGAATAAAAATTTACACGAATATTTGGTACTTAAATCATTCTTTTTATTATTTCCTCACGATAATGTATGTCAGTATGTTTATGTGTGCATGTTAATGATTGATAACCAGGGGCGTGTACAGGATTTTGACCAGGAGGGGGTCTAACCGTAACCCAAACTTGCGAGCACGCGAAATTTTTGAAATTAGACCCCCTCAGATTTGTTTTCTGCGCGAGCAGGGTGGGGGGGTCCGGACCCCCTGGACCCCCCCCCCTGTACACGCCCCTGATAACCCTCAAATTAGTTTCATTCCAACATTACACCCCCCAAAGATAGAAAGAGATTAGAAAATCTAAGTATACAGCATTTGCCCGTATGGCAGCCATATTGGATTTGACCATTGTAACAGCCCAAAGAAACCTCAATTCGATGTAAGAACATCATAATCAGATTCTCTGACCTCGAAAACCCCATAAATATATAAACTTTTATCATACTAGCTCTTTCCCTTTTGGAACTACAATTGATCTTTAGCTCAGATGGCGGCCATTTTGGATTTGCCCAATATGGCGGCCCCAGGGGCGCCCTTCTTGGCGCCCGGCAGAAATCGTAATAGTATGGTATAAGCTACCTCTTGACCAAATTTGGTACTTTTAGAAGAATCTGCACCAAAATATCCCTAACAGACCTGACTATATGTCAGATGAGCTAAAAAAGATCTTTTAGATTTTTATAGTAATGAATGGATCTTTCTATTACATACACCAAGTGCCCAATCATGTCATGTTATTATAGATTTAATCGGTGCAGGACTACCTAATCTGCGATGCCAAAAAAATTGTCGTGAACTCATATCCTCCACATCTCCTAAGCAAACAATACACTTAGCATGTATTGCTAGTAAGTGAAAACTTACTTCTAACACACGGCGCAGGCCATTTTGCCGGCTTTGCCAATAGAAGGGGAAATATGCACACCGGCTCTGGAACACAAACAAAGCACACAGTAAAGGATAGTCCCACACCAAATAAATCCGAAAAGCAGTAGATGGTATTGAGATATAAAGGATTTATAAAGTTATGCAGTGGTGAGAGAGTGAATTAAAGCAGTTAAAATGCACTCCACCAAAATGTGCCAACAAAGAAAAACTCAAGGAGAGATCAAACTTGGTCTTCATGAAGGTTACTTTTTACGTTTTATTAGCAGATTTCACACGTGGTGAGGAATGGGAACGTATTAGTGTGCGTGCTGCCGTCTAAAGCAAATGCATGTGCAAAGTATTTAGCAAAATACAGAGATCACACATTGTTATAACATGTTGGTTATATGAATACTTGGTCACTTCGACACAATTCTACACCGGCCACCGTACTAAAAATTACGCAGAGATATCAATGCAAGCTAAAACACCACGTACACGCCTGGATGAATATTAATGGTCAAGATTCAATATATGCCTAGTATGCCAAATGCGCCAGTGTCAGCTGAGTAGTATCTCTCCAACTGTCCCCAGAACTTTACTCAACTACAGCGGTGGGCCAGTAATTGTGCGTTTCTCACCTATGTAAATATCAATTCATCACCAACGTCACGACTTTTAACATATACCATTTTTAAAGAAATCATTTGTCCGTCTATGTCTACAATACCAAGAGAAGTATCTTGACATGCCAGAGATACAATTGAGCTTTTATTGTATCTGATGGACGTAGTAAATTTGAAAGAATAAATCACTTCCTCTTATTCAGTACATACACGAACACAAAGCGCCGATAGCTTTAATTTGACCAAACATCTGAAACGACATTTTTGGTTTTATTAAACCCTGTCTTATAAAACTTAGTCTTCCCTGTGGTAACTTATTTCCAACACCCACCCACCTCACTCGACCTCACATAGTGCTAATATTGTTAAGGTCAGTCTAACGTCGTTGGATGTTACCTATCGTCAGCTTAGACAACTGCATCATTGATGATTCGATCTATTGAGAAAAACGTACAACGTGATAACACTGCACAGGGAGTTTCCCTTAGTTGAATCTCCACTGGTTATTTTTAAAAGATTACAGTATTAAAAAATCTCATAGCATTTCTCTTTAAAATGTACACTATTATATTTCAGCAATTATGTTCACTGATTTGCTTGGAAATTGAAGGCTCTTGTAAGGAGTTGGTTGTCCAACCCAAAAGCATAAAATATAAACGCCCTTAAAATGTGATTACCACATGATTTACACATAATCTTCACATGAAGGTAGGTCGTGTTGCATACTAAATTACGTATCATACGACAAAATTGTTTTGTGGCTTGCTGAGAAAACTGACAAATGTGATATATACTTGCATCATTTTGCTGTTCATTAAATATTCATCATCATTTCTTTAAATTATTTTAGGGAAGTTATAAGTGTAAATGACAACCCATACTGCCTTAAGCTAGCATATAACAGCTCGCATTATATGCTATTATTATAATAAACATCACCAGCGCACCATTTGTGGTATGCCGTGTGACAATAAAACAAATTACTTATAGACGTTTTGTCAATAATACAATATCACGAGTATAAGAATTATAAATCTGTAATTTATTTACTACTGAGGTTATTAATGTGATTACTATTTGAATTATGCTGCGGGCAACTGTCAATAACTCAAATCCAACAGGGGTTTCTGCCTTGCCCACAACAAGTTAAAGATGCATTCCCACGTACATTTTTGTGACAAACCACTGTAACAAGTGCCGCAGAGCGACAGCGCTCATCTAACGTCTACTGCGGTGACTCTGTGGTGGAGTGGTGGGATTCTAGTAAACCCTGCTAGTCCCAAATGTGTTCACATTAGTGCTGTGCGTCGGATCCGATAATCCGAATCCGATCCGATCCGAATCCGATCGGATTCGGATTTGGATCGGACGAAGCGATGAAAAAGATAGAGTGTGTGTTGCGCGCGCGCGCGTGTGTGTGTTTGAGAAGAGAGAGACCTGAGAGGGAGTGTGTATGAGTCTGAAGAGAGAGAGGTGCGCGCGCCGCTGCGGGTGTGTGTGTGTGAGAGAAAGAGACTGAAAGAGAGACGTGTTTGTGTATTGGTTGTAGTGTGTGACGAGAGAGAGGAGAGAGAGTAGAGAGGGAGAGAAGAGAGTAGAGAGAGAGAGAGAGAGAGAGAGAGAGAGAGAGAGAGAGAGAGAGAGAGCGAGAGAAGCGAGAGAGGTGTGGCGCGGCGCGTGATGTGTGGTGTGTGTGTGTGGTGTGTGTGTGTGTGTTGTGTGTGCTGTGTGTGTGAGAGAGAGAGAGAGAGAGAAGAGTTGCTGCGCGTATTGTATGTGTGTGTGTGTGTGTGTGGTGAGAGAAGAGAGAGAGAGAAGAGAGATGTGTGCGTGTTTGTGTTGTGGTTGTGTGTGTGTGTGTGTTGTGTGTGTGTGTGTTGTGTGTGTGTGTGCGTGTGTGGTGTGTGTGAGAGAGAGGGTGTGGCGCGTGTGTGGGTTGTGTGTATACAGAGAAAGAGACAGAGGGATCAGGCAATGCTCAGACGAAAAGCCATTGGAACCAACGTTGGATGGAATTTATCGTTTCAGATCAATCACCCGTTCTCTAACTTTTCTTACGTCTAAAGTCCGCCGTTCCCCATCTTGATCCAACAACTCCAAAGTTTTGATGTTGAACCAAATTATAAACGAATTTTACATTGAGGCTGTCCACTAATTACAATTTTATGTTCCGATTCGGTTCGGTATTTCGGATCGGATAATTTTTTTTTCCGGACGGATTTAGCGAGTACACTCGGATTCGTGATGTCAAAATTGCCACCGGATTCGGATCTCGGATGGACATTCAAAATAGCCATCGGATCGCATTCGATTCGGCTTTTCAAAACAATGTCGGTATGGATTTTGGTTCATGTCGGATCGCGAGCGCAGCTCAGTCAATACACGCAGGCCGAAACAGTGGAATCGCACAGGCGATGGTAACCAGGAACCTTCTCAAAAAAGAATGTTCGTTGGGAATCGTTATGCAAAGTTGCCACGAGATGGCGCGTTGACGTTTATGTCTTTCAGATTAAAGATGGACAGTCCTCATCATACCAGTAGCAACACCTATTTGCAAGACAGAATAGGTAAGCACTCACATTACCTACGGCAAAGCCTACAGGCTGCAAATTGCAATAGAGAGCTGCCACTGTAACGAATTAAGGCCAGGCATAAGACACGGCAACCGAACACATGCACTGGCAGGCAGCCAACTGGCAGTGGCATACGGTGACATGTAACTATACTGACGTACAGAATGACATAGAAATTATACGATTTAAGGAACATAAACCTTCTCAAGCAATTTAGCTTTTGAAATTTCACTGTGACATTGTAGCCTCATACATCGCAGGCATGTCTAGATCTACTAGCCACTCGGCAGTTCAAATTTCTTTTAACACGTAACAGTTAGACAATCCATGTTTAAGCCTCCTCTTGAGGTCATAAAGTTATCCGACACTTCTCTTCGCCATTAGCAGAAAGGGACATTTCATGGTCGCTTTCAATAAAGCCATAAAATGCTAGGGTCACGTGAAACAAAAAAGTTTTTTCATCGCGTCGTCAGACACCATGTCCTCAGAAAATGTCTAAAATCTGCCTGTGCCCATTTGACCTTTGACCTGTGACTTCCATTATCGCCCAGTGATGGCTTTTCTACATGCTGCTATACACCGACTATCACGAGCCTAGGTCGAGCCGTTTAGATTGTGACGCAATTCGCATTTTCCTCTATACTTAAGTTAAGGAGTGAATGTTCCCCCTTCTTTACAAGACCTCTTGACTTTGACTTTGACCCCAGCTTCGACATCCCAACTCGTTTTCGATATACCCCCCCCCACGTCCGAATATCGTGATCCGACGTTACGTCCGAGCGTTAAGATTGTGCCAACTGTTGAAGACCACGGACGCACGGACGGACGGAACGCACGACGTCATGCGATTCTACACGCTTGGCATCTTGACTATGTCAGATGAGCTAAACAACGTAATAAACAGTATAACATCATAACTTTAACTGAAGCGTTCAGCTTTGAAAATAAAACTGTAAAATAATGTATTAAGCTTATATTCTACAAAAACAACTCAAAAAACGCATTTCACACGGCGGTTGACTGTATCATGGCGGAAGAGTCGAACGAGGTCAAGTACCAGCAACAAGCTATAGATATCACATAGACAACGTGTTGTATATATCTTATAGAGCATATGCATGCTGCAGGCCTTCATGACCTTCAGGTGCTTGGTAATGCACTGCAATGGCAAGCAAGAACGCGTCAAACATTGCCGCAGTGTAGACGCCGAAACTTTGTAGTCTACGAAGTTTGAATGAACGTATTCCTCGAAGCTTTTTTTTTTTACCGCCCGGCTCTTTTTTTTTGGTATCACACATATATAAGGCAAGTACAACGTTCAATGTAAAATAATTCATGGTTTGCCTGATGTTTATGTTTTCCGCTGAAACTTCGAGCAGGGCACCTTTAAATCTCAAGGTGCGAATTCAACGGCAAGTCGAGGTCCAAAATACTCCCTGATTTACTGCGACTCACTGATTTGACATACGCAGGATCCGTGTGACCCTGAAAATTCTGCCATACTAACTTAGTTTACGTTCTGAACAGAAGCACGGCTCGCCGAATAACCGTATTTTTCAGCTGTCTAAAGCATGAGTGTTCAAATGAACTGTACGATCACCACAAAAAAATGACACAAATGAATGGTGAGAGAATCAGTTTAATTGAGGGCGCCACGCATCGACATACATTATGGAAAACGAAGAGTATATATGGGAGAATCTCCCACTATATATCCTTGATACATTCATAGTGGTAATTTTTTATGTAAAATAAAGTTTGAGATGTGAAAGTCTGAGATGAGGGCCGAGTGATGGGTTACCACCTAAATGATCGCCATTTAACGTTTATAATATTCAGGATTCTAGGCACTGCTAAAAGCGGA